CCCAAGCGAGTTCTTAACCATCGCGCCACTCGGCCGGCCCCAGTTCTTATTTTTTGTAATTTCATGGATTCATAAAAATCTTCTAATACAAAAGGCACCAGGATTTGCAAATCATTATTCTAGACTACTCTAAGAAAACGATGACATTAAAAGGAAACAATGTAGGGGAAACAAAGTACTCCCCCACTAAAAATGAAGAAATCAAGTTATGTATAAGTGAAATATCTCCTATTAATGAAAGATCATTAGTTGGCAACATCTGTCGTGTTATGACAAATCTGTATGCCCAAGTGTGCAAACTCAAATTAAAATTTTTATATTTGGTGGAGAATTAGTAGTTTTACAATACAAACCCCTGGACTACATTTTCTATGTATTATCTGTGTCATATTTTCATTCTTGACAAATAAGCATTTTGTATGAGAAATGTACAGAGAAAAATACAAGGACATGTTGGAAACATACATCAACTAGACTTGACATATTATGAGAGCTCAAAAAAACTTTGTTGAAGTGTACTGAAGTGTATGCCATTTAATGGTAGACAAAATATTACAGGGCAGATTCCACTTCTATGAAAAATGCTAAGATGACAACACAGCACAGTGATTATAAGAGTAGTAATAAGACCACAGGCTTTGGATTCAGACAAATTTGGGTTCAAATATCAGCTACAGTACTTAAGGCAAAGTTATTTAACCTAACTTTGTCTCCTCATCTGTGAAACAGAAATGATACCTACTTCATAAGGTTATAGTGCCAATTAAATGTCAGTTATAATTTTTATATAACATGAATTGCCAAAATCCACAGTCCATTTTTTTCTAAGTCTCTGGAGAATGAGGCAGAGGCCTGCATATTTTTTACAGTTTTACAAGTGGTTCTGACTAGCACTTTTATTTAGGAATCACTGTCCTAGAGCCTTACTAACAAAGCTTTACCTCAGTCCAAAGTAAGGAACCGTCACAAAGATAAAAAGTCACAAGACATGATCCTTTGGCTTAGTTCCAAGTTTCTAAGACAGCCCTTTACCCCAAATTCCTTTTACAGAAAGAACCATACTACAAAGTTCCAATTTAAAGTCCTTTCCAAAGCCAGGAAAAACATGATTCCATATTGAAATTTTACATCAAAATAGGTACACCTTAGCCTCTTCCTATTCCAATTACTGAATAGTTTTAACATTGAATACTTTAAATCTATGTATAGGTGACCACTGTACCCAAGGCTTACATATACAATATGTAAGCTGTCTTGTTTTTTAATCTTCCTTAAAAATAAGTTTATAGTTTAAATTTATTGATGCTTCACTTAAACACTCCCAATAAATTTTTATTCAACACATACATTTTTAAATGTGCACAATCTTACTAAAAACTGATCGCACCTAACATAAATTCAATATTCCAGAAGCAAACCTGAAACCATCCTAAGTAACCCAATAAAACATTGCAGAGAAATACATAAAACAGAAACACATAAACATAATCATGAACATTTTATTCCAAAACAATCAGTATGAAATTATGACAATCCCTGGAAGAAATTAAGAGTTTAAAAACACTAGAACTTCTTCAAAATAAGCAAACAAACAAAACGCTTAGAATGAAGAAATACGCCAAAAGTTGATCAACTGAAAGCAAACAAGTAAAAGGAATCTCCCTTAAAAGCCTTTTCTGTTACTGTCAAGGAGAGAACTAGACAGGAAAGCAAGAGCTATACAGACAATATAGACTTTACTAATGTATGTATTTTACTAATTCAAACAAAAGACATTTTCTCAGCTATTTACATTAGTGAAGCTTATGAATGACTAATGCAATTGCTAACTTGAAAAGTGGTATAATCCAAGCTTTCATATAACAGTACAAAGGTTATAAACCCTGTATCAGGGACTGGTGAAGTACTATTTAGTGAGCCCAAGCCTCAATGCACTTGTACATGCAATTTTTAAAAATAAATGCTTTACTATCTTCACTCACACAGAATATTAAGTTTGTAACATGATGTAATAGAAAGTTGTGTATCAACAGAATATAAATCCCAAATATGTTAAAGAAGACTATACAGAAGTTAAAAGAAATAAGACAATTTTGACTTAAGCTATTTGAAAGTTATTTTCGAAAGCCCAGTAGTATACGAAAATACAATTCTAAAACACTGAATTGACTAACAGGTGCTAATTTATAATTAATTTTTTCTAGACTCGATGAAGTGTCAAAATACAAAAGTATTCTTACTTTTTAAAAGTTTACTAAGTCAAATAAAAGTTTACTAGTCCAAAATCAAACTGAAGGGTTATGTATTTGTTGGAGAACACCCTTTCTAAGTTAATTCAATATTCCTTCTTTAAACGCCTTTTCCTATTTACTGTAGGCATATATGACATATATTTCAGCTAACAATACTGCTTACATTCTAAATATATATCAGCCTGAAAAACAGGTGCAACACTACTTAGATGCATGTTTTTTTCTTCTAAGCCTAAATTTGACCAGGAAAGGATTCAAAAATAAACACAAATACCCAAAAAAAGTTGAACAATCCTTTTAAAAAGATGTAGCCGTTCTGAAATCCAAGACATGAGCCCTTAAACTACCAGTATCTTCCAAAAGTTAGTTAAACCAGCCCATCCAAGTTTCACCTTAGCAGGATCGAGTCAGGCTTAATTATGAAGGGTCCTGGGGATATTTAACTTTGCTTCCCCTCTGAGTTAGTAATGTGAGACAAGTACGTCTTACTCCCAGGTAATACTAAATCTTTTCTCAGTCGTTTCACAAAGACAACAGATAGCCTGGTTTTGCTTTTTATGGGTAAAACTGGGGATAGAGGGGGGAGGCCTCGTGAAGGGTACCCTAAAATGAAACATTCAGTACAGGCAGACCTCGTTTTATTGCGCTTCGCATTATTGCGCTCCACAGATGCTGCGTTTACAAACTGAAGGCAAGACCCTCCACAAGCAAAAGCTTTGCGATTCGCTTTATTGCGGTGGTTTGGAACTAAACCGCAATACCGCCAAGGTATGCCTGTATGGAGAAGGCTTGCTGAGTCAGTCACTAAAGTAAGAATAGGGAATCTAAAGTGATTACGGCAGCATCCCAAGTAAGAAGGTACTTAAAGTTAGCGGTAGGAAATGAAAAAACTTCACAGTTCAGCGCAAAGTCATTGTGCTTGGTAGTAGACCTGGAAAGACGCGTGGCTGTCAAGGGGCAAGTGCGTACCAACTCCAGAGGAGGGGGCCAGACGTGCCAAATCGGAAAGAGGGGTGATCCGGGAAAAGGTGGTAAAATGCCCATCCCAGTCTCTCTTCTCGAGTTCTCCATCTCAAGAGGCACAAACAAGAACAAGCTCGGTATCCAGCAGCCCCCACGCCGGACTCTCCCACAGAGAGGAGCCCAGCCCCAAGCCCCGGAGGCCCGGGCAGGCCGCCTCCGGAGGAGCCCCCGCAGACGCCATACTAAAAGCCAAAATGGCTGCCCCAAGGAAGCCCGCACCGCGCAGCTAGTGAGGGTTGGGGAACCAGCTTCTGCGGGAAAGGGGAAGGAGAACTCTAGGAAGAGCTGTGGCTAGGTCCAACGCCCCCTGAGCCGCACAGGTAGGTTCCACTTGTCCTCCCACGGCCACGGGTTCCGACAGAGGGGAGTCCCGGCCCCACCCCCCACCGGGAACCCCGCGGCCGCAGCCGTCCCACACACCGACCCCAGCGAGGTACCTGCAGTTCGGCCCGCTCCACCTCCCAGTGCGCCCGCTCCATCTCGAACCGAGCCCACTCGTGCTGGATGTAGTGCAGGATCCCCGGGATAGTGTACTGCTGCGGCCGGGACAGCTCCGGGCCTGCCGCGGGACCCGCTCCCTCGGCGGCCGGAAGACCTCCGCCGCCCGCCGCTCCATTTCCCCCTGGCGAAAGGCTCATGTTCCCCCCAGATCCCTGCTGCTGCCGTGGAGGGGCCGCCATCCCCGGGCCGCCACCACCGCCTCCGGCGAGCTCGTCCATTGTGTGTGGGGCCCCGGCCGGGGCGCAGGGCGAGACGCCGACGGCTGGGGGAAGGGCCGGGGAGGGTGGCCTCGCGCTGGTGGCGGGGCGGAGGCCGGCTGGGAGTGGGGCGGGGAGGGGGTGGTTGCTGTACGCCTGCCGTGGGTCAGAGCAGGGAGCTGCCGGCCGCCGCCATTACAGTCCCTCCTCCGTCTGCCCGTCTCACTCACTCACTTTAGGGAAGGGGGGGGACGCGGCGGGAGGGGGGAGAGAGGGCAGGGTTGGGAAGGGGATAGACGTAGGCCCGTCACTCCGCACAGCATGCCGGGTAGGGAACGCCGCTGCCGCTGCATGCCTAGTAGCCAAATAGAGTCCGGCCTCACCCTACGCAGGCGCACTGAGGACGCCGTCAAGGTTGCCGTTAAGAGGCGGGGAAGGCGCTCCGGCCCCGCCCATAGGCCCGCCCCCAGACTCGCTCCGGGTGTCAAGCGGAGAGGACCGGATAGTGGGCCACTGACTCCGACTTTTGGAAGCGAGTCGGTTTCAGGCTTCCCAGTACTCAGTTTCCCTCGTTCAGTCAGCCCCTAGTGCGCGCAGTTCCCACACAAGCGATGTGTCTGCCTTTGGAGCTGGGCTTTAACCTGGCTGATCGCTCCGGCCGGCTGCTGCCAGTCCCGGATTCCTGACGTTTCTTTTGCATTCCTAGCGTGTTTCAGGCAGTCCCAGAGGGTCGGACCTCTTTCTCTGCCTGTCACTCGCTCTTTCTCTGGTTCTTAGCACCAGCCAGTTTCCAGGACTTTTGGGACGTTCTCTTGTGGCATGTAGCCCAGATCCTTCCGGACGTGGTGAATGATTCCCCGTCTACGTTTCGAGCCCCGGCTTTGGTCCCAATTCTGTGCTCCCGGTCGCCCGTCGCAACGTGTTCCACTTTGTCTCCCCTCTTCTTTCTGATTCTGGGTTGAGTTGTGTCTTGGGGATTTGGGAGGAGAGCAGGAGCGATTGTTTTTATTTTTTTTTCTTGAGACGAGGGGAGGTAATGAAAAAGTTTAGATCTTTAGATGGTGGGTGAAAGGAGAAAGATAACTTGGAAGGAGACTGATTAGACTAACAATGTGATGTTTTAGAAGTGAATGAGCTTGCGAGTATTATCATTCATAACGATCTCTTGATGGAAGTAAATGAAAGCATCGTGAATGCAACTTAGAATCCTAGATGAATGGCTAAAGATGTTTGCTTGGGTCATTAAATGTTGTTTGAGTGAATGTAATACATAAAAGACAAGGTTAATCTTTTAAGTACCATAGTGTTTTTATGTGCATAAGTTGCCAGGAAACATCCTTAATGACATAGTAAGTCTCTAAAAGTTAATATAGCTAATAACCATTTGGTTGAAAAATAGCACAAAAATAATATTTAACAACATAATAAGGAAAAGAGGTTTAGTAATTACAGCTATGCAAGAAACTTGCATAAAAAATGGGTTACGTTAATTTTTCTTTCTTCTCTACTACAAATAACATTTTCTCTGTGGAATATATATGACCACTCAGTGTAATTTCAAAGAGATAAAGTAGTACATCTTATTCTATCATATCTGCTTTACTGTTTAATGGAAAGCAGATTGGACTTGTTATCCATGCTGCCATGTTTTATTTATATACGAAATGAGGTCTTAGGTCACAGTATTATTAAGAATTATTTCCCCATTTTATTAAGAACTATTTCTCCACATTATTAAAAGTACTATTTCTCCATTTAATAGGGACCAACATGCAACCTGCTTGTTCAATCCTGCTCCTTTTTGAGGGTCCATATAGCACATAAAAGCTCAGAAACCCCATGCTACCTCAAGATCTATGTACAAGAAACATTTGTGAGAGGATGTGGCATCAAAAGAAGCAGACAAGCACACTTATATTTCCCACTGGTACCTCAAGCTCAAGTAAAGACTGGAATTATAATCCTTTTCTTTCCTCCCCATTCACCTCCAAAAAGAAAAAAACAAAAACAAAAAACACCTCTGCTTGCTCCTCTTCTATTATTTATCTCATTAAGTGGCACTACATTCAAACATGAGGCCTGGCAGTCATTCTAGTACCTTTCTTTAACTCAGCTCCCACATCCAACCTCTTTCATACCTATCCCATAATCTTTATTCATGTTGTAAGCTTTCCCACCTCTATCCTTCCCCTATCTCTCACTACTACTGATGTCAGAGTGATCATAAAGCAAGTCTGATCCTATCATTTCCTACTTACAATATTTTAGCGATCACCAGATTTAGAATAAAGCCCAAATTTTAGCATAGTATATAAAGGTCCTTCAAATTCTAGATATTCCCTACCACCTAATCTACCATCACACCATCGTGGCACCCTATTCTCCTCTCCAGCCAAACTGCACTGTTTGGGGTTCCTCAAATGTATAATGATGTCTCATTCCACAGGAATTTAACACATGCTGTGCCCCATTGCCTTTCCTTACCTTCTTCCTTCAAAACCTAGCTCAAGCATTACTTCCTCCAAGCTTTCCAAATCCCTGAGTTATTTAGAGACCCCATCCTAATAGTATCTCATGCTTAGCTCCTATTACATATTACACTGTATTCAAATTGTCTGTGTACTGGTCAGCTACATTCATCCTAATCACTGTGAAAGCGAAACCTGCACATAACAGGCACTGCAAATCTTTGCTTCACTCATTTATTTTTTAAAGATTTCTTGACTGGCTCCTATTTTTCAGATACTCTGCAAGTCCCTGATGGCCCACTGTGAACCAAACAAACATAATCTCTGCACTCACAGGATTTCCAGTCTAGTTTTAGGCAAATTACTTAGCAACAACCACCATGGCTTTCTCAATATCTGCCCAGATCCCTCTTCAAATTGTTTCTTTAAAGTTTCAAATGTGCTCCCTATTTGAAGAGTTACAATAGAATGTATCTACATTCACTTTAAACACTGTTTTATTAATATCAGTGTAATCTTTGGCCATGTTCTTCCCAGATCATAGTCATTTATCTGCAGGATACATGCCCCTCTTGTTCACAGCTGTACCTCCAGTGGCTGGGAGAGTGAGATCCCAATAAATGTCTGATGAATAAGTTAAAATGAGACTAGACTAATATAAATATTTTTCCTTCCCCTCAATCATTTTTTATTAGTTTTTGCTAACATTATAGTAGTGATCACTTAAGGTCCAATGATCAGAACTCCCCTGAGTATTAAAAGTAAAGGACACCAAGATTTTCTACTGTTGAAATTATTTTTTAATTAATTTTTTTAAATTAAAAAAAACGTTCACTTATCGTTGACATACAATATTATAGTAGTTTCAGGTGAGAAAATATTTTTTACATTATTGACTTGTACTTTGTGTCCATAACTCCTGAGTGAGCTCCTAGAATCGTGTCTTCTGTGGGTAATGAGCTTCCCCAGACCATATTATCACCTACAACCAACGCGCCTAACTGGAAGTTCCTCCCTAAACTGCGGCTGAGTCATTTCCTCTCTTCAGTCTCACCTTTGAAACTTCCTATTTGTTCTGTCCTTTCATCAGTCTATTCATTCCTCCTCCGCTCCCATTGATTCTCTCAGTTTCAATATATTACTGATGATCTTCATGAATGCCTATTTATATCTGTAATCAGTTTGGAATTTTAGGATGTTTTTTTTTTCTTTCCTATTATCTAATCTTAGACACCTGTGTCCTCATTCTATTTGATCAGAAAAGGACTTGTCATATAGCATGTACATAAATTATGTCAGCAAAGGTATGTTAAAGAATTCAAGGCTTTTAAATAAGTTCAGAATAATTAACATCCTGATGCCCTTTTCCCAATTATTGTAATAGCTGATGTACAAAGTTTTGACTCTGCCTTTGAAAACTATGTGGTGCCCTGTAATTACTCACTTGCACCTCCAGTTTTATACCTTGCTGACTACGTACCTGACATCCTTCTAACAAAGAGCTCAAACTGGCTCACAAACAGTAATCTAGTCATCTTTTTGCATCATCTAAAAAAGTTATGACAAGTATTACCTCCAAGGGGAGGAGGGAAAACTGAGATTAAGAGTTCTGGGTCACTTCCACAGTCCCTCAGAAGAATAAGAAGTGGTTCCAACTCTTACATCGCTGAGTGTATATGTGTATTTGGAAACAAGAAATAAAGTCTTCCTTCACTATTCTGCCTCCCACTGTCTTATCAATGGGCTCAATATTGCTGTCTCTGTTTCCCAAATTATACGCACTTCTTCATTTCTGATTTTTTTGTCTTTTTTAAAATTTAGTTTTTATTTTAGTTGACATACAATATTATATTAGTTTCAGGTAACCAGCATAGTGACTAGACATTTATATACCTTACACAGTGATCACCACATCATTTGCACTTTTGAAACCCTCTTTAGGTCGTTTTGAGGTGATTCAGTCACTTGGGGAAATTACGTAGTATTTACATTTATAAATATAGAAAACAAATGAATATTAGAGCCCAGAGGCTTCTTTGAGAAGAGCTGGCATGTGTTCAAAAACCAAAGAAGCAAACTGTATAATGCAAATGGAACAGAAAAGGAGGAGGCAGCTTTGACCTGCTCCATGGTTTGACCTGCCAAATGAGATCG